AGTTTCACAATTTAAATATAGAGCGCGTCCAGAACTTACATATGCTGCTGCTTTTAAGGTGCATAAATAATCTATCATCCATGTTTGTATCACATAAATATTTTTGGAAAAAGAATTACATATGATCTCTGCTTACATTCTTCCAAGTTTGAGATTTCAAGCACGTTATTATAAAACAAAACAAACAGGAAACATGTAAAAGACTATCTAGTAGCCACGATGGAAAGAACTAAAGTAGCAGAACATAGTAAATTTCTTTTAGTGCTTAATCAAAATTAAAGTTTCGATTGATGCTCCTTTCTTGATTTGACCCTTTTTGTGTGACGGCCTCTTGTTCACCGGATTGATGTAATTCTATATATTTTACCGTCCGTGATAGAACTTGGATTTCATTCATTTCTTCAGACTAGTTTCTTTCTATCTTGTGTCTCAATGATGACTCAACATCATCAATATCTAGACTTCTCAGGTTGAAGGAACAACAGAAACACCAAGATTGTGTGTTTTCCGCTCCAACAAGCATATTTATGTTCAGGTGATTGATGATTTGAAGATGCATACCCTTACTTCAGCTTCAACTATGCAGAAACCTATCTCAATTTCAGAGTTCTATTTACTGTGCAATAGAACCCAATTTTTTTTCCCTGAATNNNNAATGGGAAAGCTTGTTATGTTCTTTTGTCTGTCATCCATTACCCCTTCTAGTAACTTCACAAACCTCAGCTACCTCCACTTTACACTAATCCCATCCATGTGCCACCTCCCCTCCAAAATCGGACACCTCATTTTACCTTTTTGCCATCCCCAACCCTTCTTGCATCCAATGTTATTAGGAGCACATACCTTAAGGCTCTCGTTGGTATGAGGTGCTCATTGGGAATGTTTAAATATATGATCTAAGCTTACTCTTTGAATCATTCAGGTTCATGCCAAGGGGTGTCTGAGGCTCCTTTTAGCCTTATTTTTGTTGATCTCTACGTTTTGAAGTGCAAACTCCCCTCCCCAATCAGTGACATGGTAGTTTTTTGGTGTTAGAGGAGTGGCAACATGTAACTTCAGTCTTCTCCTCTTTATTTATTATTTCCTTTGTCTATATATTTTTTTCCTCCTCTATGTTTCTTTTCTGTTTGAATTAATTATTTAGTAGTTTCCTAGGGATAAGATTACTGTTGGAATTTAGTGCTTGCACTGGAAGCATATAGGAACATAGCTACTGAAAGTGAAATGTTGTAATTTCTGAAATGAAAATGGGTCAGGGTGTAGGCAATTGCAGTTGAAAGAAAAGGAAATGTTTGGGGATGTAAATTTTGTGTTGGAACTTCTTTTTTATATCAAGGATTCTTACCAGACTCATGAACATCAATATTGAAGGGAATGTTCTTGAAGTGCTCCTACTTTAATTGTCTT